GGGATGCCAGAGGCCTTGGGATAGACAGAGGAAGGCTAAGGGACACTAGCATGCCAAGAAGACCGTGAAGGACCCCTCTCGGCACCCCACAAGTCAAGCAGAGACAGGGAAGATGGACGCCTTGCTTCCTTTAGCAGTGGGCAAAGGGTGGCCAGAGGCCAGTGGGGTGCAGAAGCCCAGAGTCCACTCTGCAATGTTAGGGAAGCTGCTACGGATGAGGCAGTCACAGAGGGCAGGCCGAGGTGTGGATACCAGGATTGCACCAGGTGCCCAGGGAAGCGCACCAGCGCGGTGGGGGCACCAGGGGCAGCCTGAGCCACATCCTAGTTCAATGTGTCTTGCATGATGCCTCCCTCCAAGTGACCCTGACACGCAGCACACCTGTCATCCTGCTGCAAAGAAAAGCTCGAAGAACAGCTTTATGCAGTCTGCAAGTATTCCCAGTTACACAAACTGCTAAGGCTTGAGCACATCCCCAGAAGAGACCCAAAGCACTGTGTGATCAGAAACCCTTCGCACAGAGCTGAACACCTCCACTCTGACGGGAATGCTGCCTTTGGCTCCCTTGCTGGGCACTCAGCCTGCAGGGCTGTGTCACGATGAACACAAGTCCCAACCTGCACCTCTGTGTCAACGCCCAAGCTGGCCTGTAGCTGAGGGCAACAGGTGAGTGCTGGCCAGGGAGAAGGCCAGCAGTCCCTGAGACCACTCGGGACTGGCACACAGTGTGCCCGCACGGTGCAGAGGGCAGACATTCCGCACCTTCTGGCACTCCCTTCTCCACGACGAGGAGCTGGAGGGAATACAGAGAAAGAGGCTCTGAAAGGAAATAACACAAACACCAGTACATCCAGGAGATCTTCCAGAAGATACCTGGACAGCCAGCCCCACCTGAATGCATCAGCAGCAAAGAGCCCAGGAGCTGAAATCCCCGCTGACTTCATGCTGCTGCCCACTGTTCCCACGTGGCACTTCGATCTTGCCCCCTCACTGGCCTGGCTAGTTCCAGTGCATCACACACAGCAGACGCCCCACCTGGGCTGAGCAGGCATCCCCTCCCTGCTCCTACTGGCCCTGCTGCTTCGATAGTCTGGGGATGTTTTTGCTTCCAGCTTGGGGCTGGACTGTAGAGTGCTCAAGGTCATGGACCCTGTCACTGTATGCAGGCCTCAGAGCTCAAAGCCAGCCTTCAACACTCACATTTAGGCGACCCTGGTTGAGCATCATCACCTGTCAGTTGAGGGCAGAGGTGTGCACTTGCCCGGCAAGGCCAAGTAAAAACCTCATCTACCATAATCCATGCAAGGCACGCATGAGCAGTGCCAGCTGCCTGAGAAACGCTTAACGGACTTGAACCAGTCTGTTCCGCTTCCAGGCCCAAAGACACCAGAGATAATGAAACAGGCTGGCAAACCTCTTCACAACGTTGAGGAACCGACTCTTCTAGAAACACTGCAGCCAGCTTGTAAACCTGTTCCTTAGAGAAGACTCTTCTCCCAGGCCCAGAGAACATTCTGGAAGCACATTCCAATCCAAATTTTAGATCCAGGAAGTTGGAGACTGTTAGCAACAACAAACCACTCATTCCAGCTGAGAAAAGCCACTCTTCGTGCTTTTTCTTGCAAAGATTTGCATTCAGCAAGCAGTCCTGCAAAACTCTGTTCTAAAATATGACTGAAGAAGGGGCATTTTTATTCCTGGATCAGGGCAAGTATCTGGGCCCAAGCTTGATTTTATCCTGAAGGAGCTGGTGCCACCCAAGGAGATAAAGAACCCAGGCAATCTTAAAAAGCAGTGCCCTTCAGTGTTGCCAACTAGCAGGCAAAGGAGCAACCCCTTTGATTTAACTTCCTCACCTCATTAAGAAAAGCTACTCCTTTATATCAGCAAGGCAGAAACAGGGAGGAGGCTGGTCTCAGAAACAATGACCTCAAACAACGCTGCCAGTCGCACAGTCAGGTACCCGACCCTCAGCTGCTGGGTTGCACAGGCAGAATGTTCCCCAGGGTAATGATGAGCCGTCCACCCCATCCCATCCTTGAACCCTGACCCCTGACACCCTTGCAACATGCACACGTGCACCCCCAGAAGCTGCGGAGACCCTACCTGCTCACATGCCTGGGAAGCACGTAGGGTTCTAAACCACCCCAGGGAAGCCGAGACCACTCAGCGAGTCAGAAATGCTGAAGCTGAGCTAGACTGCCAACCTCCATCCCTCTGTGCGCCCTGGGCTCCCAACCCCTCGTCACCAAGCTGGTATCCCCCTGGCCACAGTGAGGGGCCTATGTGCACGCCCACCGGTTCTGTGATCCCCAACGTCCAAGGAAAGGCTTCCTCCAGCTCCGCAAAGATGGGCTCTGGGGAAGGAGGAATGTGGACAAAGGAAGCTGTGGAGCCAAGTTTAGAAACACAGTGGGAAAGGCGTGTGGACCCAGCAGGGCTACGTGGCTCACAGCTCGCAGCTCCTCCCGCCGTGGCTGCCGCTGCACAGGGAACAAAGTGTGAGGTCTCCCAACGGCCCAAACCGCAACCAATTCCCGGCAGACACACATACTCAAGCAGCAGTGTGGCTCCCGCACGGCAAGCCCGGGCCCTGGGTTGCGTTTACAGAACACAGGAACTTGGCAGGGTTCCATGCGTTTTCAAACTTTGCCTCCCTCAGTCACTCGCTCAGGGCTGTCCACACCACGCATTCCTGGTTGCATCCATGAGTTCCCCTTCCAGGGATAACCATGCTACTGGCACAGCCTCCTTAAAAACTCCAATTGTGCTGAGTCTGCACATTTCCCATCCCACGTTTATAAACGTGCCTCCATACAGGTGCAAACCCCCCAGTGTAGGTCCTCACCTGAGTGCTCACGGGGACCACATGGTGCCACACCAGGCCTTCCAAGACACCAGGCTGACCCTTATGAAGTGCAGCCCTCACTCTCCTCCAAAGCCATCTCCAGCGCCCTGTGCTGTGGACCAAGCCCAAAGCCCTGGACCGCAATTCAGAGCTCATGACTTAACCCCATCTGACCTCGGCAGCCGCACTTCCTTTCATACAAAAGCAGGTAGATGCAGGGTCCCGCAGCTGGGGGGTGCGCACCCAGCAGCCCAGCAGGGCCCCGCAGCTGGGGGGTGCATACCCAGTAGTCCAGCAGGGCCCCGCAGCTGGGGGATGAGCACCCAGCAGCCCAGCAGGGCCCCGCAGCTGGGGGATGCATACCCAGCAGTCCAGCAGGGCCTTGCAGCTAGGGGATGAGCACCCAGCAGCCCAGCAGGGTCCCACAGCTGGGGGGTGCGCACCCAGCAGCCCAGCAGGGTCCCGCAGCTGGGGGGTGCATACCCAGCAGTCCAGCAGGGCCTTGCAGCTGGGGGATGAGCACCCAGCAGCCCAGCAGGGTCCCACAGCTGGGGGGTGCGCACCCAGCAGCCCAGCAGGGCCCCGCAGCTGGGGGGTGCATACCCAGCAGTCCAGCAGGGCCTTGCAGCTGGGGGATGAGCACCCAGCAGCCCAGCAGGGCCCCGCAGCTGGGGGATGCACACCCAGCAGCCCAGCAGGGCCCCGCAGCTGGGGGGTGCATACCCAGCAGCCCAGCAGGGCCCCGCAGCTGGGGGGTGCACACCCAGCAGCCCAGCACCTGGCGTGGAGTCCTGGCTCCACTGTCAATCGTGCACACCTTGGGAGCAGGCAGGCAGGCTTAGGAACCTGGGTGCTGCCCACCCACTTCGGAGACCCAGGCTGAGTACCTGCTCCCGGCTGTGGTTTGAGCCAGTCTTGGCCTCTGCAGACATTTGGGGAGTGAACTAGCGGCGCTCTCCCTAGTCTCCACCTCTCAGATAAACAATTGAATTAAGACTGTCACAGGCCACGTCCCAAACGTGTCACAGACCAGGCTGTAATCTGGGGAGAGCAGTTTGAGAAAACAAACAAGTCTGGGTCTTGTCTCCAGGGGGCAACTCCTGGCAAATCCAGATGCATCCTATCCTGGTCTGAGCCTACCCCACCTGCTGGCACACAGGGCCCTGCCACCACCTTGAACTACCCCATCCACAAGCCCCACCCACACACCTCTTCCCTCCCCCTTCCCCCCTCAAAAAACCCTTTCCACTCCTTTGTCTCCCTCCAGGAAGCCTTCAGGCGTCTACACCGCAGCTTTCTATCTGCCGGGTTATTTAGGAAAGCATCTCCTGTGTGCCTTAATCCCCCCCACACACACACACACACCCCTGCGGGCGTGTCCGATCCCATCTCCCAGGCCTCACTTTGGCAAGCCATTAGTGCAACGCGTTCGGTGCGTTTCTAGCGCCCTGGCCCGACCTGGCCGCGCCACGGGCAACAGGACCCACGCGCAGGAACTCCGCGGTCGGGCCTCGCCCAAGTCCCCTGTGGAGCCAGCGGTCGACCTCGCGCAACGCAGAGGGACAGCTGCTCAAGGGCCATTTCTTTCCACTCACTGGGAAGCACGGGGATGGAACCGAAGACAGAATGTAAGAACTTCTGGAGACCACCAGAGCCAGGCGCAGGGGTCGAGGCCGGGGAGCGGAACCCGGGGCGCCTGCAGTGGCGGGAATCCGGGACAGTGGCGGGGGCTTCCTCAAGGGACTGGGCGGCGGCAGCGCCCCTTATCCGGCCCTGGCTGACTGAGGACGCGGGCTGCACACCGGGCGTGCGGGCAGGGACGCAGGATCCGACACTCCCGCGTCCCGGAGCGACCGCCCGGCCCCAAGATCGCACGGTGGCCGCGGGCCTGCTGGACCCCCGGGTCACCGGAGGCACCCGGGACAGGGGATTATGGCGCGCGCGGGTGGCGAGCGGTTCCAACCCGGCCGGGGCTCTGGGGACGAAGGAGTCATCCCGACCGGGCCACGGAGGGCTCAGACGGGGTTCTCACCCCCGGGCCCAGCAGCAGCCACCGACCCCGAAGCTCGCCCCACAGGGCCCCGCGCGCCCTCCCCGGGCCGCCGGCGGCTTCTGTGATGCCGACACAAAGGGCACGCGCGCGTCACCCTACCTGGTCCCGCGCGGCCGGGGCTCCCTGCTCGGCCGCGGTGCGCCCTGCTCGGCCGCGGTGCGCGGCTCCGACGGCTGCAGCTGCGAGGTGCCCGGTGCCCGGTGCCCGCCGCCGCCAGCCCGCGCCCGCGCCGCCACAGCCCGCCCGGAGCCGCCCTTTATTCACTCCCCGCCCTCCAGCCCGGGAGAGCGGCGGCGCGGGCGGGGAGCGCGAGCGCGCACAGAGGGCCGGGCGCGCGGGAGGCTCGGCCCCGCTCCGCCCGCCGCGATGCGCCCCCTGCCGCCCGCCGGCCCCGAGGAGGACGAGACCACGGGGAACCCAGGGACCCCAGGAGAGGAGGCCAGGGACGAAAGGGGTGACCCAGCCCCGCGGGCACTGCAGGTGCTGGAATGCCCGCGAGTCCCGGGCTTCCAAGAGCCTCCCTGGGGTCGTAGACACCAGGACCTGGCCAGGAAACTCTTCCCTCCCTCCCCCGGCGGTTCGCACGCCTGAGGCAGAGCAGGAGAGGTCCACCTGCGCTGGAGTCCCGGGGGCAGGCAGAGAAATCGCATTTCTTAAGACCTTTGGGGAAGAAGTTCGAGTTTTTGCTGCTGCCTTTAGTCGCTAGGACTGATGATTACCTGTCCCCGTGCCAGGTGAGCTTACTGTGATGCAAAAACAAATCTGTAAAAGGGGTCTTCAAAAAGATAATGGAAACGCATATTATGGAAAGAGGGATTTCAAAAACCTTTTATTACAGCCATGTAACTCGCGTTTTAATTCCACTTGCCTACAGACTTTTTGACCCACAATAAAATCATCTTCCCTTAACAACATGCCAGCCCGCCCCTCTGCCTGGTCGGACTTGCAGCTATGCGCTGTTAGCCAGGTGCCACGAAGTTAGCAACTTCTCTGTAATCCACACCTGCTTATCCAGAAAAGCCAGGGAGCCATTTTAAGTGTCTCCTGGAGCTCTTCGGAAGGACTGAGTAAGTCAACTAACATGATTTCGTCCTGTTTTTCCGAAGCATCTGGCAACATATTTGTAGCTATTTTGAAACTCTGCATGGCTTGTCTTTCTCTGTTACTTCCTCGTCTTAAAGAAAAGATTTACATACACATCATCTATATATATATAGAGAGAGAGAGAGGGAGGGGGGATCTGCTGGTCTGTACTGAGAAATTACTTTGGTAAATAACTCCCCTCTTTGGAGATGCAAACCAGCCGGTGCGTTGAGGTGCCTCCATTTGTGTCCCAGGAGTTGTGGAAGCACAGTGGCAGCGCTCTCTCCCCAGGCCTCTTGGTGCGGGAGCAGTCCCGCACAGAGCCCTAAGCTCGGGAGAAGCATGTGTGTCTGCCCCCACACCCACGTAGTCCCAGGCCGTGCCTGTGAACTGGCAAGTCGGCCAATGCTGCAGGGGTGCTGAGAGGAACACTCCCAGCTGTGCTGCTCGGTGAAGTGGCCAGGGCTGAGGAGCTGCAGCTGGGGGCCTGCAGAGAGACCTGTGCTCCAGGAAGTGGCTTGAGCTGCAGAACCAACACTCAGATACTGTGTATTTGAGGCTTGTAAGCGCTCACATGACGACATGCGTGTTCACACTGCACTCTGCTCTCGGGGATGCCATCGTGGTTCGGGTGCCGGCATTGGCATTGGCAGCAGGTCTGCAAAGACAGCCTTGCTGCGACCTGCTCAGGCCTCCCTGAGAACTCGGAACCACTGCCGCAGGTGGTTGGTGTCTGCAGGATAGCAGCACCTGCTACGCTCGGGCTCAGAGTGCTCTCTGATTCCTGGAGTCTTCAGATCACACTGTTCAGGATGATGATGTGACATTTCTGTGACCCTCCCAGAGCCTTGAGCATAAGAAGCACCCAGTAAACAGTGACTGAGATATCTCCTCTCAGCCATGCCCCCGGGCCCCGACTCTAACAGCAAGCTGCCGAGTATCTCAAGGTCATTTCCAAACATCATGGCAGCTGTCCATCCCAAGCCCCTGCATGTGTAGTGACTGACCTAGAGAGCTGACCTGTCGATCCCGCTGGCAGAGATACCGAGGGTACCGTTGGTGTGTCTAGCAGAGTGACTCACAGTTGCATCACCAAGCAAGCTTCGCTGCTGATTAACCATGTGTGACCAGGAAGGTAGGGCAGGGAGCCAGGGCTGCCACCAAGAGCCCAGAGGCTAGGAAAATGGAAACCTCTTCTTGAGTCTGCCTTCAAGGTGCAGAATGGAGGGGTGATCCACACATTCACATCCATGGCTTCAGATAAAAATATAGAAAATGGATTGGGCATCGTCTTGTAATCACACATTCTATCAGTGTAAAAATCTCACGTTTTCATTTTGAAAGATGATTTAAGTTTCATTTTGACTTTCAAGTTGTGGGAAAGTCAGTGTTGGTGCTCCTCCTGGCTCTCCTTGGGGACACGGAGTGCTGAAGGTCTTCCCTGGGAAGGGAATGTGGGCCGTGACCGCTCCTGTCCTCAGCCCGTCTGGGCCAAAGGCCGTCTCGTGCGGGAAGCAGGAGGGGCAGGCTGCACAGTGCTTGTCTGCCAGGTGCACAGCTCCCAGGTGCAGGTGTGTCTGGCTCAGGCAGCGTCCGTGTGGTTCTCAGCAGCCCCCTTGGGGATGCTGCCCCGTCCTGACCTCTCCCTCCCTTCGCCAAAGAGCCTGCTGTCTTGTTCCACCCTGACTTTCGAACCATTTCTTCTTTGGTGGAGAATTCACCTAGGATGGCACGTGACCTTTAAGCAACTTCAAGCAAAAGGAAGTACAAGCAAAGACACAAATTCATCCTTCCGGTGGTGTAAGGACAGGTTGAGCTGTGTCTGCTAAAGTGGCATATGTTGATGTCCTGGCCACTGGTATCCTGGAAAGTGACCTCACTAGCAAATAGGATCACTGTACATAGTACTACTTAAGGTGAGGTCATAACAGAGTAGGGTGGTCCCAAATCCCCATTGGCTAATGTGTCCTAGGACAACAGGTGTTCAGACTCACACGGAGAACAGCAGTGAATGTGACAGACTCTACAAACCAGGGAACAGCTGAGGCCCAGCAAATACTACTACAGCCCTGCTGCTGGAGCAGGGAGAGGGACGGGAGGCGTGCGCAAATGCCCCTGTCCGGCCTCAAGGTCCACCGCTGCCTCTCGGATCCCTAGCTCCTAAGAGGGCTAATTTCTTGTGCCCAATTTGACTGGGCCATGGCGTGCCCAGGTAGCCAGGAATGCATTTCTGGGGATGTGTCTCAGTGTTTCTCAGGTTAGCCTTTGGATCAGCAAGTGGAATAAAAGAGAATCGCCTTGCCCATGGGTGTCATCTACCCTTGACGGTGCAAACAGAGCACAATCCTGGAAGAAGGATGAACGTGCTGTGTGCCTGAGCAGGACACACAGCTTTTCCCGCCTCCCTCCAGACCTCCGTCACTGGGTATTTGCTCCCCAGGACTTGGAGCAGCCTGGGGATACTTCCTTTGTTCTCAGCCCTTGTCTCTGGCCTTGGCCTCCACTCAGATTGTGCCAGGAGCTCTGCAGGCTTCCAGCCCAAAGAGAGGAGGGCACGGGACTTCCAGGTCTCCACAGTCCTGTGAGTCTGTTCCCACGAGACACCTGTGCGTGTGACACACCGTGCACATCCACTCACCTGTGGGCAGGTAGACAGACGTTCTGCTTCTCTGGCAAATTGAGATGAATACACCTTGAGAACTAAGAGACAATGCATTTGTGTGAGCCCCCAAGCTGGTGGTGCTGTGTTCCTTACCAACTGCTAGGAGCTCCTGGAAGGTACCTATGCGTGGCTGTAAGTTAGAGGATAAGTGTCATGCTAAAAATGTAAATGCCAAGACAAGGCCATCAGAGAGCTGGCAACAAAGGAGAAAGGTTAGTGTGTTGATCTGAGGGTGTACGTGTGATCTGCCTTGTTAACCAATGTTGCCAACACTGCTAGGACAAACTCTAGCATTTCGTAAGTATTTGTTGAAGGAAATAAATGTTCGGCTCTCAAAATGGCTCAAATGCAAGAACTAGGGTTTCTACATAGATGTGTTAGGATTAGACATTGATTGAGTTCAATAATGGAGAGCCTGAGGTTGAAAGAGACCAGTGCCTGGTGCCTGTTCCATGGTCACTGCCAGTGTCATTGTTCATGACTCTGGGGTGACTCAGGAGTCTCCTCTCGTTCGTAACACTGCCTTTCTGCAACAGTACAATATGGCCTTGATGGCTCATCAACATTTTTTCAGGGCTTCTTCCATTGTGAAGAAATGACTGTGTTCCATCCACAAAAAGGATTTACCTTTGGGCAGATGCTTAGTTTTCAATAAATACATGTGTGCCCCCTGGCCTCTTACAGCCAGGCCAGCGTACGTGACTGATGGAGCGCGGGCAGAGTCTCACGTCTGGACTGGGGTGCTGAGAAGCCCTCGAGGCCCTCTTTGTCACCTGTCCCCTTAGCAGTGGTCTTCCGGGCACTTTGCAGGCTGGAAGGACTACCTTAGGGAGCCAGCTTGGCTCTGCAGGCTGCCCCATGGTGGACGAATGCCAAGGGAATGTGGAGTTGAAACATACAGGTTCGCCTCACACTGGCTTTTGAAGGGCAGTAATTCACATGCGCTTGCGTCTTGACAGAGAGTCGAGAGCAGGCTAGGGAAAGAGAAGATTGTGTGGTCAGAGACTCGAGAGCATGGCAGAGGCAGGGAGCCGGGAGCCGGGAGCCGGGAGCCGGGAGCCGGGAGCCGGGAGCCAGGAGCCAGGGGCCAGGGGCCAGGAGCCAGGAGCCGGGAGCCGGGAGCCGGGAGCCAGGAGCCAGGGGCCAGGAGCCAGGAGCCGGGAGCCGGGAGCCAGGAGCCAGGGGCCAGGAGCCGGGAGCCAGGAGCCAGGAACGGGGGAGAACCTGGGAGTAACCGCGGTATGACAGGCAGAGTGAGAGTGCAGGACAGAGTCTGGTCACTGACTCCGATCCTGGAGCTCTTCCCCAGCGGGTGTTGTCACACGCCACACTGTCTTAGAGGCTGGAAATGTTCAGTGGAGCGCAAGGCTGCTAGCTGGCCAGGTACAGTGAATGTTTTTGCACTTGGTCCATACTCAGCCACACACTCAGCCTCAGAAGGAAGTTGTTAGGGCTCCTAAGGCTCAGGAGTCTTCCTCCGCCAAAGGGAGCTGCCTTGCTTCCAGGAACTGGTCCCTGCAGGGTCAGCACCTGTCCTATTGTCCTGCCTATCAACTAGGCCAAAGGCCTCCCAGACGCCCAATACCATCCCAAGCTCTGCTGCCTCCCTTTGCTTCTGTGAGAGCCAATAGACAGCACACAGCACAGGCCCAGCTGCCCAAGGAGCTCACCATGCAGAAGCCAGCTCCCAGCAAGATCCCAGCAGGGAGAGAAGCCTGTCTCCTGACATTGTTCATCCAGTTTGGTGGAATCAGCAGGCTTGTGGCGCCCTTGGTTCAGATCTGAAGGACTAGAGTGAAATGTCTGGGTACCAATGAGCGCAAGAGCAGGACGAGGGGCCGAGGAGACCCTTTCTGAGCCAGGCAGTTTTATTCGACCCCTTAGAGGTTCCTGGGCACACACATTCACATACACACACACATGCAGCCTGGAACACGACTGATACTTCAAACCTCAGATGAGCGTCACACCTCCAGTGAAATGTCTCTGGCTCCTCTCGGCTTCTGACTACTCTGCCACCCCCATGCTGCTCTCCGATTGTACAGCCACGTGTGTGCATCTGGCACTAGGCATGACCCCAGACCATACTGGGCCACAGCACCCCACGTCTTTGCTTTCCCTTCTCCTCCTGGGGATATATGAGGCTCCAGCTCAGCCTGACTCCCCCTTCCTTCCTCCTTCCATCCCACTCTTGCTTGTCAATGCCGGGTTTACTAGGCTGCACTGTGGGAAATTTATTTCTGTCTCTGGGATCCAAGGGCAAGGCCATGCATGGCCCGTCTTCCTTGCTGTAGATGCACAATGAGGCTATCCAGTTGCTAAGAAAAGAGCAGGCACTGTCAACTAAAACAGCGGTAGGTACTGTGGCTCAGCGTGTGCGGCTGCCACCTGCACCCCATGTAAGCAATGATTCTTTTCTCAGCTGCTCCACTTCTGTTTCAGCTTCCTGCAAACACACCTGGGAAAGTTTTCAATTTTCAGGACACAGGCTCTTCCAGGATGGTGAGCTCCCCCCGGCTCTGCTAGCATGTCCAGGTTCTCTTTCCTCTCAACTGTCTAAGGTCTCATTTTTGCATCTCTGGGTTTTGTTTTTGAGATTTATTTATTTGTTTATTTGAAAGAGTTACAGAGAAGGAGAAAGGAGAGATTGCCCATCTTCTGGTTCACTCCCCAAATGCAATAATGACCCGGGGTTGAAACAGTCTGAAATTGGGAAGTAAAAGCTTCACCCAGGACTCCTGTGTGCTTGTCCGGGATCCAAGTGCTTGAGCTGCCTCCTGCTTTCCCAGGCCCCGAGCAGGGAGCTGGGACATGAACTGGCACACGTATGGTATCCCAGCAGTTGCAAGGTGATTTAGGCTTTGAGCCATTGCACTGGGCCCTGCTTGCCGCTAAAATATATTGTTATTCCTTCATGGCCGTGGAATTGTACCCCAGGGAAAGATGGGGTATGCATCTTCAGGAAGCAGCAGCTCCCTCCCCAGGATGAGGATGGGCTGTGCCCACAGAGGATGTCAGTCCTTAGGTCTGCACCAGCATCTGGATGGATGCTGCGCTCAGTGGTGGCACAACCTCATGTTTGGTGTTGGCCAGCACTGGGAGCCTCACTTTATCAGAAAAGGGTGAGGAAGTGCTGTTTAATCAACATGGCCTGAATGAGGAAAGAGCTGGGTGAAGGAATCTATTCTGGCTCTTTACAAGGAATCAACAGATTTTCTGAGATGAACACTTGATTTAATTAATGAATGCGTCAATTTTCAATGAATAACCAATGTCTGGCTCACTGCAAGAATCGTGCTATATGGGTTGGCAGGTATTAAGTTCTAGTTAGATCAGTATTAGATTGGATCTAGATGAGATTAAGAGTTCTGTGGTCTTACTGCAGAGTAGGGTGGCTGTAAAGAAATACTGACTGCTTAGAAGAATCAGTATATTAATCCTGACTGGATATTTTACATATCATGCATGTAATGAAGCATCACATCATAACCCCCCCATAAGTGGTTTTTACATATCCACTAAAATAGACAATCAAAGCGATTCGGATATAGTGACAGTAGCATTAAACTTGAAATCAAAGCCAGCAAACTACAGGTCGTCCGACCTTCAGAGCTCATTTATCTGGAGAGTGAAATGTGTGTACAACATGAGGGCCCACAGTGCTTAGCGGCTCATCCCTGCTCTGCACGTCCAGTTGATTGTCACTTGCATGTGTGTCTCTCATTTCTGAAGCCACCAGCCGTGGGACTGCCCTCACTAGACTCTTGTTTGTCCAGTTAGAGCGAACGTTTTTCAGGAAGCTGAACTCTGTGGGGTTATCAAATCTAAACATTATATGTTACATTCCCAAAGCCATGTTTTCTATGCAAAGACTCTGCTGCTGTTTCTACTGACGCACAATACTTGTTTTATCTATTTGTTCACAAAAATTTTCTTCACCAGACTTTGAGATTCTGAGTTGCAAAGCAGTGGCACATTTAGGTTTTCTCCTTGGCCCTTCCTGTAGTATCTGATATGTGAGAGGTAGGAAATTAGCGATGATGAGTTGATGACGGACTTAAGCCTTGTGTTCAGTAAATATTGTGCTCCAAACCACAAATGTCCTCTTTCATTGTTCACTCTTTTTTTTGTTGTTGTTTGTTTGTTTGTTTTGTTTTTAAATCAGGGCTTGACACTGTGTCTAGAGATGTTTATGGGTTTCCATCCTAAATATCAACTTGGACTATGAAGAACGAAGAACGGGTGTGAACTCCGTGTGAACTCACCAGGGTCTGTTAGCAGTTACCAGGCTCCCATGGCCCGTGGATTAGGATGGGATTAAACCTAACTGAAGCATTCCTCAGGGCAGTGCATCAACTCCACCATCCAGTCCACGCCCACCTCCACAGTGCTCGGCACCGAGGGCTGGGAACTGCCCACCCTGATTCACACCCCTGCTACAGAGCACAGTGCTCTGAGGGCTGGGAGCTGCCCACCCTGGTCCACGCCCACCTCCACAGTGCTCGGCACCGAGGGCTGGGAGCTGCCCACACTGCAGGAAAGGATCGGAGTACATCAGACTGCCTGGACAGGACCCACATTCAGAGTTGGCTGACACACACAACAGCATGACAAGGACAGACTGATGCCTAATATGCCCCCAGATTCTTTGGCCTTTACAGGGGATCATGTGAGGTTATCCCAGGCTCTGCCATGGCTGGTATGGAACCCTGCAGGTGTCACCAGGTAACACCACCATGGGTAACAACTCCAGCAGCATCTCTGGTTTCTGTCGGGCTTGCTGAGATGGCTCCTAGAAGGTCCAATCAAGTCCACTCTGTGGAAACAGGCTGGGAGCCAGGTAGAATGGACCTTCATATGAGACCCTGGAGGGACACATCTGTGGCCTATGCTGGCCAGGGCAGCCTGAGCCGGTAGTACAGGTCAGTTCAAGTCCAGCAGCCTCTGGAAGGCTTCCTGGCAAAAGGGAAGCCTGGCTTGGGAGGAGTGCTGTGCCGTAAGAGGGGGGATGTGGACTAGGGGGTGGGTGTCAGACCCTGCCTGGCTGGAGCTACATTGCCCTTGTGTCTCAGCACCCCACGTACTTCCCTACCCCCTGGGCCTTCTCCAGTTCTCAGGCCACTTCCTTAGCAGGCACCTGCTGTTTCTTGTGCAGGCTGTGGGACTCTCCTGGCTGTGTCTGAGCCAGTGCAGCTCTTCTGGTCCTGCCAGAAGGTCCCTGTGGTCTCAGGGCTCATGGGGCCAAGAGCAGCTGCTCTCATCCATGTCCTAGACTGCTGGCCAGATCCCACTGTGGCCCACGGAGGCCCAGGTGTCATCCTCACTGCCTGTCCACAGGAGCCAGGCTCTTACGGCATCATCGGATGACTGGCTGCTGCATCCCGAGAGACTGACATCATTTGAAGCTCATCTCCACTCAGTCTGACTGGTAAGTGGGTTGTCCAACGTGGACTTATTAATTATTGATAACTATATTGATTTATAACGTGTATTTGCTTTTAGCAGCCACAGCGTGTAGAAGCGTACAACTACTTTAAACACGTATCAAGGACATACATCATTGCATTATGACACTGAGACCGGACATGATGTACAAAAATACTTTAATATTTTTAGAGTTGTTAGGGCACATTAGGCCGTCACTAACGAACACCAGACACGCAAAAGAAATGTGTATTTCCTAAAATTTAAGTCTTGCCTACACACAGCAAAGACAGCTGGTCTCTGAGGAACCACAGCCTAGGGAACAGAATCCTTGCAAATCACGGTGAGGTACGGCCAAGCACAGCAGTGCTGCAGCGTTGGGTTCTGCTGATGGATACTCCACCAGAACCTAGACGGAGGTAACACAGGAGCAGCCCGGTATCAGCTTACGCATTAATTAGAAGCACCACAAAATAGTTTGCTTTAACTTTTCAATTTCTCCAGCTTACTGATTCTTTGTTGTACCATTAAAAGGATTACAGTCCACAAATGAGCATTCAAATTCAAAACTGAAAAAAGCAAAGCAAAACATGACATAATCTGAACTTATGGTAATGCTCAAAGTCCCTGTTTGGCCCTTATAAGGAAAAGGGGCGTTGAATAGTTTTAATCAATAAAGATTTGCAGATGCTAGCATTACATAGGGAAAAGAGTTAATAGTTGTTAAAATAGCCCATGAAGTGCAGCGTTGTCCAATCTCACATTTCTTCATGGAAACAAAAGCGTAGTGTCCCTCAAATGCAGAAAAATGCTCGTGGGTTTCAGGTTCCGCTTTGTTCTCATTTGTTGATCGGACCCCTAGTGCCTGCCGGGCGAGGCCTCTGCCCTCACACACGCCTGCCTTGCCCTGTGGCACTTGCCCTCTTGCAGAGGGATGGGCAGCAGACAGAACAGGTGTCTCAGGCTCACACTGGCACACGCAGGCATCACAGCTCACACACAAGAAAACACCTTCAGACGCACGTTTCCCTTAACAAGTGAACAAGATGCCACGCACAGGGTAACGTGCCCTATGTTGGACACGGCACAAACACACTTCAATTGAATTAGGGTGTCTTAAAAATGGAAGGATGTCTCAGAAAAAAAATCATGTAGGCAAACACACTCCACAAAACCTTTCACGGTCACAATCTTGTTTGCAAGGCAACGCGAACGCGCCCTCTCGTGGCAAGCGCTCAGGTTGCAGGGAATAAAAGTTCCGTCCTCGCCAGGGCCCGTGACAGCCTTTGTGGAAACAGTTTCTAGGTTCTGTGAACGTGGAGCTTGCGTCTCGGAGCAGCATTCCCTCTCAGAGCCCGCGGTCGCCTCACAGGGAGGCCAGCGTGTTGGTAGTCACTGAGGAGCAGGCACACCCAGCGGTTTGGAGGAGCCCAGCTGGACCGGACTTGGCCTGATCAGTCCTCTGACGCTGCAAGGTGCCCTGTCAGGAAGGCACCACGCGGGAGCTGTGGCGACTCACGCCAACGGGCACTTGCTCCAGACTGGAAGCAGCTCTGGAAAGGCTCCGATCATGGTGAACTTCTGGCCACGGCAGAAGGGGAGGGAGGGAAGGAGGCTTCAGAGCAGCAGATTGCCAGAGCAAGGCTGTAACATTTCCAGGCGTGACACTGCCATCTTCATCCTTAGGAGAGAACAACTGACTCCATCAAATGAGCCAAACATGGGCCGGGGGAGAGAAGCAGTGCAAGATAAAAAGGCCCGCGTCAGAGCAGACGTTGCTCAAAACCCAAATCCTGAGCTGTTCTTACAATATTTTTTGGAGGGGGGGAGGGGGGTTGCTGTTTCTTTTTCTCCTCTCTCCCTTTAGTAGATGAAGCGAACAGACTTGGTCATCGCGTGATGGGCATGCCCGCCAACTCCAAGGGCTGGAGGGCCGTGTAGCAACTGGTTTCAGCTGTGGAGAGGATGAGCCGCCAGTCCCCGGGGCCGCGTGCCCGAGGGAACCCAGGCCTTGCCAAGTTTCGGCTCTACCACTCCAGCTGCAGATCGGCCTTGCTCCACACATATTTGCCTCCTCGCTTCAGAAACATCTTCTCATCAAATCCGCTGAACTTGATGGCTTCGTGGACTCCGACGTCCAGGATGGACTTGGAAGGGTCCTTCCGCCCGTTCCGACAGTTCAGGAAGCGCATCTGGAGCAAGCACAGCACAGCAGCTCTTATTCCCACGGCCTGACTCCTGGGCCAGCAGCCCCGCACTCACAGAGCCTGTGTGCCCCACGAGGGAGGGGCTGGAGAGCACACAGCAGGAGGTGTAAGCCTGGCTACAGGAGGCCCATGTGTCCTCAAGGGACAGGCGTGTGGCGGCCAAGGTCTGGCCTCCGAGGTGGACCCCTAGCTGCAGCAGGAGCTCTCTGAGCATTCTGGGGGAGCTCATTGGCACAGCACCATGTTAGTAAGTTGGCAATGGCAAACTTTGCTTCAACTATGTTTAGGCCGACTAGGTTCATTCACACTCTTGATGGTAAGTTGTGGGAACTTTCCTCCTCTCGAGCCCATGAACTGTACATTTTCCTGAACAATTTTCCTTTTATGTTCCATGTGGAAAAGCTCATGTGGACAAGAAATGAAATGGCTGCAAATGTCATTGATTATCTTGAAAAGAAGGAACCTACAAAACCTATGGGGATTTGGCTTCAAAACCCCAGTGCAATCCAGTATTGAATCTACAACTTGTTTCTTAAAAAACAGTTGTTGGAATGCAACTATTTGTGCTGGTGAAAGTTACGACTCGCTGTTTCCCTTGGGAGGCAGTGGAGGTGGACATGATATCAATAGTGGTCGCAGAGTGATACGCCCTCCCTACCCACTACCTAGTTTTATCAGTCTGACCTAGCTGCCAGCGCCTGGTTATTTAGGATAATGTGATGCACGGTTCCACCCCCACGCACAGCGACCTGGAGAAGCCGCAGAATAAGGGAGGCCTGTGTGAGATATGTCGCATCTGGCTCAAGGAGGTGTCTGTATGCCTGGGTGCCTCGATAACATCACACGGGCCTGGGTTTAGGTCTATACCTGTTGGATGGCCACGTGCAGAGCCTGGCACGGTGATGCCAGGACCTGTTTGTACTAGTAACAAGCTGACTGGGAAGCTATGAGTACCGGTCAAGGGGGACAAGGTGATGCTCATTAGAACTCAGCCCTGGCATCGTTGCTTAATGAGCTGTGTGGGGTCACTTCATGGCTCATTGGCAATACTCACGTATTCATCCAGGATCAGGTAGGAGTCTTTCATCTGCAAGGAAACATTAAATACAAGGTTAGTGTCTGCGACTGCCTCCGGGTTCTTGCAGATGACCCCCCTGAGGATGGACTCTGTGCATGCAGATTCCAGCAGATTCCAGCAGGGCCAACACCCCTGCCACACACTTGGGGGTTCTCCGATTCATAGTTGGAATTTATGGGACGATGTTGAACTAAGCATGAACAAGAAAACACCGTAAGGGGGGCAGGGAAGTTTTAAAAGAAGAGGGGAAGGGCAGGATCCATGTCCACCTGTTTGCTGTGTTTTATTCAATGTTTTTAAACTATCTTAGGTATATAGTTCATGGGATGTAAAAGAAAGCACGATGGCTGGATGAGTGCTGGTCCCCGTTGAGTCATGCTGGTCATCTCAAGTCCCACACCTGCTTCCCGAGCCGCGTTTGGTTATCTCACTGCGTGCCCGGGGAGACTGAGCAATACCCTTCCCATGTGTTTGTTTGTTTTATACATCAGAATTAAAATTACAATTAACCTTGCATATTAATTTTCCTATGTGTCTAATATGTTGTGAGGACGTACCCTTGTCACTTCACACTCCTTGAAATATGCTCGTGAGTGGGCGTGGCAGCCTGCGGACCTGCATGGTTACCTGTCCCCCGTATGCCGTGTTTCGGGCTGCCGTTGGTGCTATTGCTCTCAGACCTGCAATCCCAAAGCTTTCCTTTCAGCTCATTAATAGCTCACAGTGGAGGCCAGCAGACCCTGGCTCCTGCGCCCAACTGCCCGCACTGAGAGGAGACACCAGGCGGAGTGTGTGGCTCCTGGGCTCAGCCCGAGCGGACTGCACCGTTCTAGGCCTGGGAGGAGTGGAGCAGTGGATGCATTGTGTGCTTTCTCTCGGTCACTCTGTCTTTCAGATTCATACATCAATAAGTCTAAAACACAGTAATAACACCATGAGGTAGACTTTCTCCTGGAACTATGTGGCCCTTTACAAGCTGTTATTATAATTTAGCAACTACTTTTCTATGAAAGCTGCAGTGACTTGCTACCCATCAAGCAATGGCAAATTGCCTCTCTTACTGTGTCTTCATGCTTCTTATTTTAATTTTTATCTCTCTGGATGCTGGTAATATCAAATAAGTTTAAAATACTTATTCACTATTTGTTTTTCTTCTGTGAATGATCTGCTTATGTTCATTCCTGATTCCCCTTGTTGCTAATGGATTCTCACTGACTTAGTAAACTTTTTATGAGAAGTATCTTATTTGGTATAATTGAGTATATTATCTCATGGTAAAGTATTCTAATTTTTAAGTTTATAATGTATGCAATGTATATTTTAAATTTTTACATTCTAAAACATCCATGTCTAATCATACTTGAAAATTAAGAATTGGTGAAAGAAATGGTTTTTTTACAGCCTATTTAACTTTAAAATTAGCAGTAGAGATAATCTAAATAAATGACGTGATGATGTTGTGTAAGTACAATATCATTCCGGTTATTCTCTATTTAGACATTACATCAGGTATGTGACATATCAAAGTAAAATCTTTGTGAATTGCACCCAGAAATTACACAAAGCAGGATCTGTAAAATCACGTGTTCTCCAAGGTGCAACTGCAGCCTTTTGTGGAGACACCCCGAGGCTCACAGAGCACCCTGTGCTGGCAGGTGGCCGAGCTCAGCCTGGGCCTGGGCCTGCACTGCCCCCACCTCTCGGGACTGAACCCTCTGGTCACCACTGGGCAGAGCCCTGGCGACACTCCCCTCTCTGAAGTCCAACTACGGTGTGATGGTGAGCAAAGTGATGTTTGTGCTTTACAACCTTCTGGTTCGATTCCGGCACCAAGCAGGACACTTCTTTGTGACGCTCCAGGAATCCTTCAAACTCTTCATCACTAATAACAAATTTCGCTGCTTCTCTCAAGGCGTCTTCTCCGGAATTCTCACCCTCAATCAGGAGACACTGAAAGACCTGGAAGCAGAGTGTTGTCCTGGAATGAGCTGCCATTTCTCGTCCCGGACACCTGTCTCCACCCCAGGCCTACTCCCCACCTTCCCCATCGTCCCTCCCCGCTCCCATCGTCCCTCCACCGCCCCCATCATCCCTCCCCGCCCCCATCGTCCCTCCACCTTCCCCATCGTCCCTCCCCGCTCCCGCCACCCCAAGCAAGGCAGACCCTGGGAGCCAGGAGCATCCAGTTAGGATCATGCTAGGGAAGTGGAAAAGTAGCCCTGGACCTTTGGAACGTGCTGTGGAAACCTCAGTCCTAAAATACAGACTTTCAAATACTGCTGTGTACTCTATTTAACCTATCTTAAAATTTAATATTTAAAGACTATGAAATATGTTTTGTTGAAGATGTATAACACATATCAAATATATATCATGAATATATAATCCAAAAAGCATGAGAAAAAATCAATGTTTTGTCATTTCTGTTGATTTTTAGTAAATTCTCCCAAGGTTTCTAGAGTATGTATGTTTTTCACTTAACACATAACAGTCACTTTCCAGAGCCAGGGATATTCTTTTTCAACCTTGCAGGAGAATAAACCTATGTGAGCACGTGTGCATGTGGCTGCAGGCAGTCTGTGACTTGATCGAGACAAGCAGGATTCGGAGCTCACAGACCTGCTGCTGGCAGAGGCTGAGCTCCAACTGCGGCGATGGCCTGTGAGCGGGCACCGGTCCAAGCCAAAGGCGGAGGCCTGCAGAGGACAGACCCAGGTCACAGGGCTGTGTACTCCGAGATGGCCTTGAGACCCTCACATGCTGGCTTCTGTGTTTGGGTCACAGTGTTTTCTGCTCACCAAGGACTGGCTGGTTAGTACCAACAGGGACAGAGCCTGTAATTTGACTCCCAAGCATTTCACTACAAGCTGAGGCAGCCAGGTTCGGGCTGACCTCCTCAGAGAAGGGGACCTCCCTCTGACCACTTGTAGTCATTCTCTGTAGTCATTCTCTTGTGTCTGTCTGGTTTCTTAGTTTCTCAATTGCACGGCACCCCTTCTACAACCCTCTGTGCTGTGCTGGGAGTGGCGCACACTGTATTACTCCTCTAAGACCAATTCAATAGCCCAAAGCAAAACTGAGGGAAGCCCAGCCATTTGTCCCGATGACACTAAATGACAGCTAACCCAAGACAGATCCCATGCAGAGCCCAGATCCCTGGGACTCTATGGAAAACGCATATTTGACATAGAATTTAGTGATGTCATCTTCTGTATTGTTCTGAAGTCATTTCCATCAGCCTAGAAACAATGTTGAGGCTTCATGGATTCGGAAATGGCGCTATGTGCGTGAGCCAGGGAAGCGGAAGCAGAGGGAGCCGAGGGCCTGGGGAAAAGCAGGAGGAGGTGAGAGCAACCAGAGCCAGGAGAGGCAGGACCCTCCCAGAGGGGAGGCCACAGGGCGGTGAGGGTGGCAGTGCAGCAGCAGCAGCACGAGGCCCAGGCAGGCGGCCCAGGCGGGTCGGGTGAGGGCCCAGAGCGAGGGCAGGGCAGGCCGCCCAGGGCGAGGGCTCAGACCTTGCAGCTCAGCCCTGGCCCTGCTCTCTGCCTCGGAACGGACAAGAGGCCCTGCTTGTGGTTTCATGGAACAAATGCTGTCCTGCACATGTTCTGGCTCAAACCCGGCACTGCAGTCCCGCAGACTTACCTTCCAGCGCACAGGGTTCAGTGCTTTGATCTGTTCGTTCATGTCCTCATCCACGTTGAAGCGGTTGATCACCGAGTTGATCTTGAAGGCCACTCTGTACTCCCTGCACCACGCTCTCAGCTTCTGCAGGTTTTCCACGTGGTTCTTCTTCCCTTGACCACGGCCAATGAGGACATTGACCTGCTCATCAAAGCTGTCGCAGGAAATGGCAAGGATGTCCAAATATTCACCTGAAGAAAGAGGACTGCTGTGAGCAGTTGTATCTCAGGGCCACCCCCTCGGGACACTCAGATGACCCCAGGACCACCCCTCAGGACACTCAGATAACTTGTTTTCATTTTTTAAGAAGACATGTTCTTTATGGTTCCAAAAGCTACTGAGGTGTGGGTTCTACTTGGTACTGGGATGAGATGATCTTGAAAGAATATTCACAGGCTGAGATGTAGGAGGCATGTGCAATAAACCTTTTTAAAAATTTTTAAGGGTTTATTTATTCTTTATTGGGAAGTCAGATATACAGAGGGGTGGAGAGACAGAGAGGAAAGATCTTCAGTCTGATGATTCACTCCCCAAGTAGCCACAAAGGCTGGAGCTGATCTGATGTGAAGCCCGGAGCCCTGAGCCTCTTCTGGACCTCCCACATGGGTGCAGGATGTCAAGGTTTAGGCTGTCCTCAACTGCTTTCCCAGGCCACAAGCAGGGAGCTGGATGGGAAGTGGGGCCGCTGGGATACAAACCGGGGCCCATATGGGATTCTGACACATTCAAGGCAAGGACTTTAGCTGCTAGGCTACTGTACCAGGTCCATGATGAACCTTTTTAAACCCTGTATATTATGCATATGAGTACTTGCTAATATATTTAAAGGAATTAAGAACATTATTCTTGAGTAGAAACTATGTAACTTCTCAGGAAGAAAGTCATGAGGATCCTTCCAAAGATTCATGGAAAACCAGGTTAAACAAACAAACAAACTTTTGGGGAGCCTGGCACAGTAGCCTAGCAGCTGAAATCCTTGCCTTGCATGCGCCAGGAACCCATATGGGTGCTGGTTTACGATGCAGCAGCTCCACTTCCCATCCAGATCCCTGCTTGTGGTTGGGAAAGCAGTGGAGGACGGCCCAAAGCCTTGGGACCCTGCACCTGTGTGGCAGACCTGGAGGAAGTCCCTGGCTCCTAGCTTCGAATCTGCACAGCTCTGGTCAGTGTGTCCCCTTGGGGAGTAAACCATCAGTCGGAAGATCTTTCTTCTCTGTCTCTCCTCCTCTCCGTATATCTTACTTCCCAATAAAAATAAAATAATCTTTAAAAAACGAAAACAACTTCATGGTGCAAAACATTATTGAAATCTACCCATGATTTGTTTGTGAGATGCATGTTCATGGGTTTTTGGAACTTTTCTTGTTTTGGGGAGTCTTCTAGCCATTCCTACGAGTGATTCTGGATTTGCTTCTCTTTTCCCCAACATACAGAGCCAGTTCTTCCACAGAAAATACATGGCGTTGCTCTAAGTCACTGAGTTTCTCCCAGCACTCCTTGCTCCTTTTATTCACCATGTCAATATTTACAGAGAGCTGTGTGAGGTGGAGCTATCTGGGGTGCTGAGAACCCCCTGGACATCAACATCCCTTCCCCAGGCAGCAGCTGGGCGAGCTGATAGTGTTCCTGCGGGAGGACTGTGCTTGCTGTGTGCCACTGATACCAGCTCTGCTGCATCAGCTCCGCTCTGCCCCCCTAACTCCTTAGTGTCCTTTTCATCTTCGTGGGATCCACGTAGTTCTCACCAGCAGACATTCTCTACAGCCAGGTTTACCTTGCAATGGATTGTTTGACTTTTCCAAGTTATTGTGATTTTCAGGAGGCAATTATTTTTCCCTTTGAAAAATCATGGATCTAGGAGCATCAAGATGGCACAGTAGGGTAAGGACACATTCAAAGGGACAGAGAAACATCAGCCAGGGTGAAGCAGAGGGCACATTCCAGGGAACAGGAGAGGACAGACTGATGACAGAGGGGCACCAGGAGACTGACGGACACAGGAAAGCAGCGGAGACACCAGTGTGCTGTGGCATTCAGCAAGCAGCGATCTGAGCTCCACCGGTGACTGGAACTTCACCAACAGCCAGGCAGGAAGGGGAGTTCCACAGGAACTCAGGAGGTGAACCCAGACAAAGAACTGCCCATCCTGCTCGTTTGTTTGACTTGACCAGAAGCAGAGACAGAGCAGTAGATCCCAAACAGGCAGTGCAGAAACAGGGTGGGTTTCACTGCCCAGACCCCTAGCAGAGCTGAGTCAAGGGCCATCTTGTGTAATGAGGCAAAGGCTATGGGGCAGGATTGCACATGAACTAAGCTGGACATGACCTCATTTCTGGATCAGTGAATTGCAACAATGTGGCATCCTACAGGTTCTACCAAAAATATGTCTGGGTAGCAGATCAAGAACTCCATGAGTGGCACATCAGGTGTCATTTTGTACAGTGTGGCAAAGGCTTTGAGACTGCAGGGACAACAGTGAGCTGCATACAAGCTGAGTTAGGGGTAAACTCACTGAGCTCAGTACATTGCACTGGTTCCACATCAAAAATAATACCAACTACGGCAACTTACGACACAAAACAGGTCCATGTGGCCCTCAGATCAGACCTAACGGCCAAAAATTCCGTCAGGATCAGCACCACTGACAACCTAGCTATACAGGACACTCCCTAATCCTGTGAGCTTTGAATCAGAAGTGGGGCAAAGGTTATATGGACCAAGAGTGCAGCCTCAGTACAGCACACGGGAGATGAAGAGAGGTGAGCCAGTAGCTGGGGCTACGGAGACCATGGTAAAAGTCTAACATAAGAGCCCAGATCTGAAATTCATGGGAGGGAGTGGCATAAGCGACTGCAAAAAGCTGTGTACTAACCGCAGTAAGTAAAATTGAATTGCAGTTCTGTGGGTGACATAGCTTAGAAAACTGCCCTAAAGAGAAAAATCTGCTGATCAGAAGTACAATGACCAAGGAGAGGAAGAGACAGAGGCACGGGGAATTTTACTGAAGACTCCCCTGAAAAGGAGCAAAGCCTCAGAGTTAACTGAGGAATGCATTGAGAAAATGGGGAATTACAGAATTCAAAACACTTGCTATAAAGCTTCTTATCAACAATGAGAAGCACATGCAGGAATTCAAACAATATATCACACAGGCAATGACAACACTAAAACAAAATCAGGCCAACTTATTGGAAATGAAGGATGCAATAGAGCAAAACAAACATTCTGCAGAAAGTCTTAATCATAGAACAAAGGAGGTAGAAGAAAGAATCTCAGAATTGGAAGAGATGTTTTGTCACGATGGACAACCAATTGAGAGCTGGAAGCAGAGCTGGGTCAAGCTAAAAAAAGTATTCAAGAATTAAAAGTCATTATTAAAAGGCCAAATATAAAAGTCATGGGAGTTCCAGAACGTACAGTAAGAGAAGCTGGGTTTACAAATGTATTTAATGAAATAGTAAAGGAAAATTTCCCTAATCTGGAGAAAGAATTGTGAAACAAGATCCAGGAGGGGCACAGGACTCCCAACAGACTTCACCAAAAGTGATCTTCACCACAACACATGATGATCTAGCTCTCTCAATTTGAACATAAGAAAAAGATCCTTCAATTTGCTTGTGAAAAAAAAATTTGACCTATAGACTCACAGCTGACCTCTCACAGGAAACTCTACAAGCCAGAAGAGAATGGAGTGACACATTCCAGATTCTAAAAGCAAAAAATTCTCAGTACAGAATAATGTATCCAGCAAAACTTTGTCTTACTCATGCAAATGAAATAATTTTTTTTCCACAGTAAAGAAAAATTAAAAGAATATGCCTCTTCCGAACCTGCCCCACAAATGATATTCAATGGTGTTCTCTTGACAGAGAATAGGATTAGCACTCACCAAAACCAAAGTTAAATGTGAAGAACATAGTGAAATAACAACAGAAGAACAAATCAATGAACAACCCATTGCTAAAATGATAGGACCAGATTACTACCCATTTATATTAGTTCGGAATGCAAATGGCTTAAATTCATCAATCAAAAGACACAGATTAGTAGACTGGATTTAAAAAACCCCATCTATTTGTTGCCTGTAAACAGGAGATACATCTCACCAACAAAGATCAGCACAAACTACATCTTACGGATTTTATATTTTTGTTTATAGCTTCATTTCTCAAAACATTCTCATTAAATTCTTCACTGACTCATAGGTCATACAGTAGCATTATTTTCTTAAAGATGAATCCTGATTTTCTTTTTCATTTCTTCAACAACACACGAGTCATTCAGAAGCATGTTACTTAACTTCATGGTGTTGTTAATTTCTTTTTTCTTCCAGTTGTTGATTTTGTTTGTGGCTTTTCATTTTGGGGAATGTATAGTGACTGTGTAGTGGAGACTGTCATGTCTAGATGTGAGGATACAGTGCAGTGTGCATCTCTACTTCTGAATTGAGGATGGACTCCCAGTGAAACTGTTGGATGTGTCTTGACAATGGGATGCTGGATTCTCTGCCAGTGTCCAAGCCGCAATGATGGGCTTATGACTGTTTATGAGGAACTATACTGTTGCAATGATATGGGGGAATTCAGTGGGGGGTGGGATTTGAGAAGGGGATAGGGGAAACCCCAGGGCCTATGGAACTGTATCATAAAATAATAATAATAAAAAAGAAAAAAAATTATGGATCTAAGAGTTCCAAAAACTTCTTTAACTGTTCTCAAATTTCACAGGGTAATTTTAGTTTCTGTCCGCAGAGCATCTAACACAAATGAGTTTCCAAATAATGCGATAGATTGATACTTACAACAACTCAGAATATTATAAAAATTGAATTCAAATAGATTTCTAGTGGCACATCTTATTGGGAAGAAGTTTCTAACTGAATACAGGGTCTCTCCCAAATACCCCAAATCAAAACTGAACCATAGGAACCCTTTACATTAAAGCTGCAAATAGTTGATGTCCAACCGAATCTCTAGCCAAGACTATCTTTCCTGTTTGTCCTTCGGTACTGTCCTTCTGTGATGTCCCTCCTTCTTGTTCTCAGCCTGTAGTCAGTGCTCTCATGAGGAAAAGATTTGTGCACTTGCTGCTTGCATCTTTGCGGGTTAGCCTGGGGCCATGATCAGATCTTGGCCAACTCCTGCATGTACGGCTGCTGCCCCACTCTGTGGATCCCTGCTATTGCGTGTGCCGGAGTTTGGAGCTGAACTCATCCAGACCTGATCATCCAGGATAATTTAGCAAGACTTGTGATGCACTTTGCAAGGCAGGTGTCCGATGACTGCAACTGGACTTACCTAGTGACTGGCTCTGTACAGAAGCTCAGATGCCAAAACCCAAAGACACCCCACAGAAAGATATCCCAAGCATATCCCTGCAGGTTCCTGCTAGACAGGAAGCTCAGCCTGTGTGGCAGGTGGTGCTTTGTGTCCTCTGCGACTTCACAGTGATGAGGGGTTGTCTCAACTACTGCCCAATGAGTCACTAAGCCCTGGGCAGCGATGGGGCCTCTGAACAGCTCTTTCGACAGAGGTGGGGAATTGAGCAATGGGGACTATATGGGCATTCGCTGACACTGTATTTTTCCTCATAGCAACCCCGAATACTTCAAACTCATTGCAATTGTAAGATGTCACATAGAATGTGCATTGGATTGGATCATCTGAGGACCTAACAGATCCCACCTGGGACACACACTGGCCTTCCAGTGGACCTGTCTTTCTTTTGTCAGCCCCCTAGTGCCGCCCGAATCTTTCATCCACTTCCACATTCACTTTCTGACCTCATTTACCATCCGAGACTCAGAGCTGTTCAATGTAGCAGCTGCCTGCCTCATGAGCGCCTGCCCCAGCTGAGTGCACAGAGCCTGTCTCAGAAAGGGAGCGTTACCCAGGCACACACTCCGAAAATCTTCCTGCTGGCATCTGGCCACATCATCTCCAAGCGTCTCTCTGCTTTGAGCTTGTAGAGCTCACATTATAGCCTTCCCCTGTGCCACCCTGGCAGCACACTGGCATCTGGATTATCTGCTGCTTTGAGCTCTTCCTGATCCACCTTCCCCTCACTTGGCACACAGCGCTCCTCACGTTTGCATTTATGCACAGTTGGTGAGGTCACCAGTCAAGGCTATTTTGCTAACCCCCAGCATATCACAAATGCTCACTTCTGTTTGGTGGACTCTGACAGGTGGCACAAAGTGTTCAAGATTGGATGTTGTCCCCTGAGATGGCAGCAGCCATGACAGTGAGCATTTTTAAGTGCTAACTGAATGCTAGGTATTCCTGTAACAACATGCCACGTAGGTGCAATTCAACTCTAAGAGATCTCGGCCATCTTAGGAAATAGTGGTTCATAACCCTGAATACACAATGGACTCCTAAGAACCGCCCACCCCAAACTGGACAATCACACACCTCGAGGTTCTGATACTACAGATGTATCAGTCAAGATTTGTCTAATAGATGACCTCTCCTCACCAGAGGCTAAGCTTGGACCCTCCGTTTCAACCCTTAACGAGTTGAAGTGTACAGGGAGGGATTCATGCTTGCAGATAGGGTCTGTTGGTCTGTTTATGTGGGGTACTCTGGAACTCACACAGCCATGGAGACACGCACAGCTTCTAAGGACACCAGGGGGAGCATGACTTTTTCTTCCCTTCCAGTTGCCCAGCAAGTCTGGACTCAGTCCCCTAGAGGAAGGGAATTGAGAAACTGCCAAGAGCAGCAGTCAGGGGAGTGGCATGCTGGGAAACTCACCGTAATCCTTGAACCACCGCTCACGGATCAGGCTTCCGTTGCTGACGATGCTCACGCTTTGCAGCTGCAGCTCTGCCTTGCAGAATCTCACCAGCTCGCCCAGGTACCTGCCCCGGTCATGGATAAAGGGCTCCCCGCCTGAGAAGTTGATCTTCTCCATGCCTGTGTGGGGCGAAATTGGAGGGATCAAACGTGAGTCTCCACTCATCAAATACCCTCTGTGATGTTCAGCTTCTCAGTGTAATCAATCAATCAATCAATCAGTCAGTCAGTCAACCTATAAGACTGTCTAAGCATCCTCCCTGCCCCAACCTTCGACCCCAGCAGCAAGTGCTCTGTGGGGATAAGCCTGCTGGCATAGAAGGTATTACCAGGATGCTGTGTGTGGTTTGTACACAGAAGGACAGCCTTCCAAGAACACCAAAGGCACAATAAGCAGACCCAGTGACCTGCAAATGGGACACCCCCTCCCCCACCTTGGAAGGCAGTGACGGGAAATGTTGAAGGCTGCACTGAGATGACCTAGGGCATGGCTGGCAGCAAGTGAGTCCAGAAAGTCACATGAGTGTGTTAGTAAGGAGATGAAGCTGGTCTCCCCGCCAGGAGGAGAGTGAGGCTCTGGGGCTTTGCCTGCGAGATCAGCTCTGGGTTGCCACACAGACATGTTGAGCTGGCAGGGCAGCTGGACCCCACCAGGGTCTGTGAGATTTCACCCCTGTGAAGTGCAGACTCTGGCACAAGCGCAGGTTGTGGGCAGGGTGGCAGGGGGAAGGCAACCTGCACAGCTGTGTGCTGTTGGTCGCTGCTTGCTTTCTGCTCAGCTTGTATTGTACGTGAAATCCAGGCAGCTGTACACTGAGGAGCGTGCATGGGGAGGCAGCCAAGGAGCATGCTCCGTGCCAGCTGCAGGTGACGCTGGGAAGGAGGGGGAGGTAAAAGCGGAATGAAAGACAGATTCAGAGAATTCAGTTGTCACAGGCTGGGTTCTCAAGAAATGCCTGTAGCTTGGCAGTGCAGTCTTGCTCTGGAGGGCCAAGGCTGACACGGATGTCAAAAATAACAGAAAGTTTCAGTTAAGAGCAGGCACATAATTCAAGATAAAAGACACATTTATTGGTCTTTCTTTCTTTCTTTCTTTCTTTCTTTCTTTCTTTCTTTCTTTCTTTCTTTCTTTCTTTCTTTCTTTCTTTCTTTCTTTCTTCCCACTTTTCTGAAAATCAGAGCCAGAGAGATGAGAGAGACAGGAAGGAGGAGGGAAAGAGCAATAATGCAGATGGCTGTAATGGCCAGAGCTGCACAGGTTGAAGTCAGGAGCCAGGAGCCTCTTCTAGGCCTTCCAGGAGTGCGCAGGGGTCCACTTGGGCCAACTCCCACCTCTGTCCCCAGGCCAGTAGCAGGAAACTGGATGGGAAGTGGAGTGCTGGGACACCAACTGGCACCCTCATGGGACAGCACTGTTGGGTGGCAGTGGCTCTTCTCACTGTACCACAACACCAGCCCCACTGTTGCTGCTCTTGCCTCACAAGTTTTTTTCCTTTTTTTAATTTCCAATGTTTCTCTTTAACATTGTTTGGAAAAGGCAAATCCAGTTTTGTTTTGGACAGTCAAAAGGTGGCATAACCTTCCTGAACTACCCCTTTGCAAATGCTGGAACAGGTGCATGTACTCACCTAGAAGTGTTGGGGACTGGTGGGTGGGGGGGGGGGCGAGCCTTGCTGACCCCAGGCCAAGCACAGCTCACCCACGTGGGAATGGCAGTTCACTGACCTGGAGGAGCTGTCCAGCCCTACGGTTCTCCTCCTCTGGGGCCCATGCGTCTTCCAGAGTCGGGACTCACCTGCTTCCTTGAGCATCCGAAGTCCTCTCTTGGCCTCCTCGAGGGGCAGCACGTAGGATGTCTTGGCTGTATGGAAGCAGAAGCCGCAGCGGTAGTTGCACTGGCGAGTGAAGTGGTAGTTGACGCTCAAGGGCGTGGTGGGCACTTGGCCGTCCTCATCCTCTGCCTGGACCTCCCTAGGTCCTTCTCTGACATGCTGCTGCTGTGTGGACCGGGTTCCTGGGAACACAAGTGCTGCCCTCAGCCAGCACAAGAGCCAGGCCAGGCTGCTGCACAGGGAGCCCAGGGACCCCGTGAGCACACTCAATAGCTCCCATGCGGAGACAACAGCCTCAAGCATCCGCATGGTGGTTGCTGTTGCAGGAACTGCTCTGCACCCAGGCAGACACTCACCTTATATGAGGACCAGCATTCCATCCAGAGAGGGACACGCCTGCCTGGTCACCTATCAGCTGACTTTGAGTTTCAGTTTTCTTCCTCCAGAAAATGAAATGAAAGTTGGAACAGTGCCAAGTCTGAAGGACTATGACACAGACCTGCAGCTGGCTTTCTCTGTAAAGTCCTACACAGTGGGATACCATGCAGCCCTACATACCTGATGGGACACTACGCAGTCTTCCGTATGCAGTGGGCACTAGTCAATCGTGTGTATGCAACAGGATTCTGCATAGTCCTATATACACAACAGGGTGCTGCATGATCTTTCATACACAGCAGGATGCCAAACAGTCTTATCTACACAAACTTCCTGCAGTCGTGATGAATGCTACACAGCCCACACGTAAAAAGAACATTTTATTCACAAGAACTCAGACGGCCCCGGAGGACGTCGTGAAATTTGAGATAACCCTTGCAGAAAAACACAAGCAGTGCTTGACTTTGCTCATGTGTGTGATGAAAAAAGGCCAACCCACGGCTGCAGCGAGCGGACAGGAGGCTGTGGGGCTGAGTGGGGCAGGGGAATGGGAAGTGTGTGAAGGGAGGACACCTCTCTGTCAGGGAGCAGGAGCAGTTGCAGAGACTGGCAGGACAACACGAAGAGATCATGGCACAGCAAGGTGCCTGGAGTTGACAACCATGTGCGAGCAGAGGAACATCCTTCTGAGTGTGTCAGGTCCCCTTTCAGATGACAGAAGACACAGAGGAAGCACGTGTCTCAAATCTTCTTCAAGTGGTCAGCCTAAGGGGTACATTGTGTTGGTGTTAGCATGCAGCCATTCCTGTTCTCCTGTCTTTTGAAGCCATTTTTGGTAGACGTTTCCCCTGCTTACCATGCTCCTTGCTTAGCAGGAACCACTGGTTCTGATGTTTATGACTCTTAGAAAGTGTTGTTGACTGGCATTGCCTTCCTTCCAGACCTCTTGGGTGACGGGGGGCTGGTGTTACGTCCCCCGGCTTTCCCCAGACTGGCAGAAGCCGGAGCAGTGCTGAAGGGCAAGCTTGTGGAAGCACAGCCGTCTGCAGGGATTCCCCGGTGCATGGTGTGGAGTAACTTATCTTTCCTCTCTGGGCCTCCACTTCCTTGCCAACCAAGCTGATGACTCCTGTGACTTAAGTAAACCGAGTGCTGCTTAAGAGGCTTGGCTAGAGTCCAGTGCGTGCTGAGGGCTGGCTCAGATTAGTCTACTAGCCTCCCATTTAGAATGGAAACTGAGATGACTCACTCAGCTTGGAACCGGAAAGAAAATTCTTCAAAGCAGTAAGCACAGGTTTAAAGATCAGCAACTTTACAGCCCGAGGGTAAAGCCCTTACATCATTGTTTGGCGCAACTAGAAAATATTTCTTGTTGGATCACATGTGCTGGAGGAAATAAAATCAAGTCACCCATCGCGGCACCAGCCAGAGAGTAGCAGCAGCAGGTTTTTTTTTCCCCAAGTAAAATGCATGAAGCGCTTAGTCCTAGTTCAACTGGTACTGTAGAATTTGGGGTACATTTATTAACCTGGCTGATCTTTCGAATATATCTAGGAAATACAGATTAGTCACAAAATATAGTCAAGACACACACACACACACACATACACACACACACCATTGAAAGACCAAGTAGGATAACACTTATTAAGCACTGAGCGTAATGTCTCCAAGGTGTATAATGTCTACCCTACGTTCAGCTTGTGCCAGCCCATGCTCATGGCAGCCAAGCAGTAGATTTTTGTTTTTAAAGATTGATCTATTTATCTGAAAGTCAGAGTTACTGAGAGCAGTGGGGCCAAGAGGGGAGAGAGACAATCTTGTATCTGCTGGTTTACTCCCTGCGATGTCCGTACTGCCCAGGACTGAGCCATTCCAAAGCCAGAGCCTAGAAGCTTCTTTCTGGTGTCCCACGGGCACTGGCACCAACACGGGATGCCAGTGCCACAGTGCTGGTCCAGCCTCATTTCTTTGGCAGGGATATTCCTTGTGCAGCACGCTCCCAGCCCTTCCCCAATGTGGATTATCACTGCAGCAATGTGAGGGTGTTTGCGATGCGTTGTTGTTGAGCTGGCTTCACCACAATCCTCCTGTTATGTTTTTCCTTTTTTTACAATATCTCCCTGACACCTACAGAGCAGCGCACAGTGCCATGGCTTGTCACACGGTGAACATATGCTGCAGTGACCATCCTTATGAGAAGCAGCATGGCCTGACCTTGAAGCTTCTATCTTCTCCCAAACGTAAAAGCCCACCAGTATCTGAGAGATAAGCCGGCCTCCTAAAACCACCTTCCAGGTGGGTCTCTTTAGAAGCTTCGATGAATAAAACCGCCCAGCGTGAATACTTCGTGTCTGGCTTCTTTCGGTTGATTGTATTCAATAGAAATCTGCTCATTTTCGCTCTCTGGCCTTTTCCTCCATTTCCGCACTTTATTTTTAACCCAGAGACATCTCTTTGACGAGTCTCCCAGCTTGGTTCCCTTCACCCCACCCACAGCCGGCGAGCTTGTCTCGCGCACACCCGGGATCCTCACCCGGGATCCTCAGCACCTTTGTTGTAGGAATGTGAAACAGAAACTCATTGCACAGTGGAGTTCTGTTGCTCTTTCCTTCCTCTTTCTTCTTTTCTTCTTTTTAGAGTTAAGATCTTGTAACTTCAGAATCTTCAGCACCAGTTTGGTGTTGACTGAGCTTGGATACTACATGGCCAATGAATTACAGCTATGTGCGTGCAGGGCAGAGGTCAGCGAAAGTGGACAAAAAAAGATATGACATCGCCCGGGGCTGAGTCCAATGTGGCATGTCGGACTGTCTCTGGAACTTAACCCTAGGGGTCCTGCCTGCGCGTCCCTACTCACATGGTGCCACAGATGCCACCGTCATGGCTCAAGGGGCTGGATTCCTGCCACCCACCTGCAACGGGTGCCCAGCTGTTGGCTTCCGTGATAGCCCAGCCCTGCGCACTGCAGGAGTGGGCAGGCAAACAAGAACATCCTATCTGCTCATCTCTCTCTCTATATATATATATATATATGATATATACATCGTATATATATCATATAAATCTATATATTTGTCACTCAAGAAGGTAAACAAGAAGCAAGAAGGGAGAGAGTGGGTGGGAAATGCAGGAAGGACAAAGGGCAAGGGGGAAGTACTACTGTGCTCCTCAGCCGATAATGTCAAATATGGGAAATCTGCTATTTTATATACATAAAAAATTGTATTGTAAAGAAAAGACCGATTTAAGCAGCATACATTCTGTGTTATCCTATCTTGTTGCAGATTCAGAAAATACTCAGATTTATGAATTTTATTGGAAAGGCAGATTTACAGAGAGAAAAAGCCTCCATCTATTGGTTCACTCCCCAAGTGGTCATGATGACTGGAGCTGAGCCAATTCAGAGCCAGGAGCCAGGAACTTCTTGGGTCCCAAGGCTTTGGACCATCCTCTACTGCTTTCCCAGGCCACAAACAGGGGGCTGGGTAGAAACTGGAGCATCTGGGACAAGTGTGCCCATATAATATGGGATCCTGGAGTTTGTAAGGCAAGGCTTTTAGACACTGAGCCATCACACCAGGCCCTGAACATATTTCAGAGTAAACTAGAGTTTCTGCCTAGCAGCAAGATATTCAGTAGGGACGGGCGAGGCAGAGTGGTGAGTGCAGGCTACCTGGAGAAGGCCTGAGATGGGCCACAGAGGAGAGAGGTTCTGGGAGCAGGGTTAGAGCTGCACATTGGGCGCCCCTCTCCCAAAGGTTGCGTCTCTTACTCTGGTTCCCCAGAAGACCCTTGTACCTGCACATTACTGAGAGGACCAAATTAAAAATGATGAAAATGAGACCATTAGGGTGGGCCCTAGTTCAAATAGCATCCTTATCAGAAGAGAAAGTTTGGACACACAAATTCACCAGCAATCTGTAGACGCCAGGGGTGCAGGCACAGAGGAAGTTCACATGAGGACACAGGCAGAAGGCTGCTGTCCGCCAGCTGGAAAGGTCTGCAGGGCTGTGCAGCTGCTGGCTCCTCAATCGGCTTCCGGCCTTCTGGACGCGGCCAACATGACTCTCCTGCTGTCCAGTCTGTCCAGCCTGCTTTGCTGTGGCAGTCCAGGTGGACTAGGACAATGAGAGAGGGTGGGCCCCGTGACAAGACTGAGAAAGCTCCCAGGGCCAGCGCAGCACTGCCCCAGAGCATCCAAGGAGTTACAGAAGATGCCAAACCTGCAGGATTGAGGTCTGTGAAAACACGGTGGCCTACTCATGCCCAGAGGGCAAACAGCTCAGAAAGAAGCAGGACCATTCTGTTATCAAAGAGCTAAAAACAGAAGCAGCTCTAGGGTTTCTTATGTTAGACTCGGGGAGAGTCCAACCCCGTGGAGGGGAGCAGCACCGTCATTGGCAAAACAAGTCAAACGCAGAGGCTGCAATAAGCATGAGGATTTTATTGAGCATTCGCGAATGGGCAACAGAGTCTCTGGAGGCACCCAGGACTCTGCGCGCCTCACAAACATTTTGGAACAGTTTTTATAGGGCAAAATCATAAACTCTGCATAACAGTCAGTATTTCTCACTTTCAGATTAGATAGCCCGGGGGTCTCTTAACTTTGTATATTTTCTCAATTGTTGACAGTCTGTATTCCTTGTCACTTTCTTATCCATTACATTCTTGCATTGGCCTTGCTTCTTTATCTTCTTTATTCCTGTAATTGTCTGACTCATTTCTGGGAAACTAAAACTTTACTTGTTTCATGAAATGACTTCTCTATATTTATTCTAACATGGCTCCACTCTTGCTCAGCAGAAAGCAATATACAGAAGCAGAATCAAGTGGTTATTCTAAGCTCTTACACTTAGCTAATGAAGTCATATTTCATTTTAAAAAAAGATATTTATTTATTCAGTTGAAAATATTACAGAGAGATGCAGATACACAAAGAGAGAGATCAAAAGACACACACACACACACA